GCAGAATGTGACCGATAACTCAGGAAAGTGTGCTCTGTGCAGCAAGCTCACACTTTTTTTTTTCTAGCACATTCACCCCACGGCAGTCTCCCCCCAAACCGCCGCCCGGGGGACCTCGTTGTTTCGCGTTTAACTTGTGTTCCAACCAACCCTATTGTCATTCTGAATAACGTGCGACTCTAGCGAAACGCGGTTAGTTTTAGCAAATCCAAACAAACGCGCCTCGTCTCCTCCAAAAATGCAGTCATCGTGGAAGCTCGGAAGGGCTTTGCCGACGCTCGAACCGGTTCTGAAGTCTTCGCTCAGCGTTATCCTTAACGCCTGCCACAAATTAGGTTCAATAACGTCACCGGCAGCAAATTTATTTCCCTCGTGTTCTACTTTATTTTCTGGGAGCAACCCAAAGCCATCCGTTCAGGAATGGCCATGCCGTCTGGGTTTCAAGTTCAGGAAGCGAGGCAGCGTCCCAGGGGACAAGGAACGTTCTGGATTTAAAACCTGTGGCAGAGAAGACTGCGCTGTTCACGGTCGACCCAGTTTCAGCGGCCACAGCCCCACCCAGGTCCAAGGCTTGCACCGCTTTGCCAGGAAAATAGAAAAATCAGCCCTAGGAGGGACAATCCCCGTAATTCATGAAATAAAGGATGTGAAAGGCGTCCGTTTCCACAGTGAATTTAATCTTTTTGACCTAAAAGAGGACAGTTCTTTAGAGGAGCTGAAACAGCTTACTGGTGTTTCACACGCCGAGAGTGAGTTAAACGCCGCCTTGAACACTGGTCTGCTTCCTGTGTGTCTGAGTCATGACTTTACGTTTGCTTCGAGAATCACCCTTTCAAGGACATTGCTCATAACATCGACTTATTTTTAGGTTACCAAAAAAAAAAGACTTCCCGGGGAAGATTTATTGACAAACACACACCCGTCTGGTTCCCCCGGAGATGGATTTCACATTTTCGCTGAGAAGAAACAACCAGAAGACAAAGCTGCGTTAGGACAGTGGTTTCTGTTCTCGGCGGAACTTTCTCGGTTGCCTGACCTTCCCGGTTTCTTTCAGATGCAAACTGAAAACGGAGTTTGAATGTCAAGCTTGTTATAAATCCTTAAAAAAAAAAAAAAGAAAGAAAAAAAAGTGGATAAGGGTGGCCGGCCATGCCGTCTGGGTTTCATGCCGGCCTTTCCGTCCTGCCTCACTGTTGATGGGTTTGGGCGCTCTGCGCCCCAGATCACGGCCTCTGGGGGCCCTGCGTGTTTCCCGCTGGAGGACACGGGGAACACAGCAGAAGCGGGAAGGTCGCCCTGACCTCTGCCACCTCGGCCTTCTTCCCTGAGGCAGGTCGTGAATGCTGCAGGTGACAGGTGCCGTCGAAGCTTGTTCCACGAGCCCTCCCCTTCCCTGTGATGTGTGCCCCGTTAAATCCTGTCGCAGAGGGAGACAGGCTTCCTGCCAGGCTCTCCTCGACTCTTGAGAAAACGTGGAGTAAAAGGTATGTGTGCTTTTGTCCTGTGAACCGTTCGCACAGCCGTTTAATTTTCAGCCAGAGACCCAACGCGGGTGCCGGACGATGCTTTCCTCCCCCGCAGCGTAGTAAGGACAGCGAGGAATCAGACTTCTCATCATCACGTGGTCCTCCTGTGTTCCCCTCCAGGACCCAGTAAGAGATCCAGCAGCGGCTGGTCGGGGGCCACAGGGGAGGGGTTTCGGGATGGAGAGCCGGGCCATTTAGAGGGGAGCAGCTGGGGGCTGATCTGCAGATGTGCCAAGCTGGACAGGCTGCCTGCACAGCTCACGCCGGCCCGCTCACTAGCGTTAGGCGGCCACGGCGCGGGTGCCCACGGTTTACTGCAGGAAGAGCGAGAATCGATGAGTTCCTCCTCCCTCCCTGCCCACTTTGCCGCCCGCGTGATTCCCGCATTCCCTGCGACTGTTCCTCACGTGCTGCCTCTAAGTGTCTGTCCACTCACAGTGACCTTTCTTATCAGACGAACCACAGGATGCTGAACACGTGACTGTCGAAGTCACGGTGCGTGGACACCATCTCTCCTCTCTCGGGACGGGACGAATGGTGTATTGTCCGCACCTTTTCTGGACATCCTGGGTGATCAGTGTTCCCGCTCCTTGGCAGAAGCCACTACGAACACAGACGCTTCAAACGACACGCGTTTGTCACCCAGCTTCTGCACGTCGGGGACAGATGTGGCTGCGGAAGGCCCTCCGCTGGTTGTCCAAGGCTGCGGGCTGGGCGTCCGTGGACGCTGTGTTCCCGTCGGCATGCTGCGTTTGCTTCCAAGCCCCCGGCCGTCGCTGGAGTTCATGCCCCTCAGCCCTCAGGGCCCGTGACAGCGGGCGTCTGCGGGGACAGCCAAGAGCCTGCCGCTTCCCGTCTCTGGCCTCTGCACCTTTGAAAAGGCGCAGGGAATTAATTGTTCAGGGGGAGCCAGGCGACCGGCCGCACGATGAACTCTACCTGTGAGGAACGTGGACCACCTGTGCAAGATGATGTCTGCGCAACCCCGTCCCCCGTGCTGCGTGGCGGAGGCTGGCCCCGGAGGGGCGCCCGCCACAGGTAGACCACGCCGAAGGTCAAGGGCGGGGATTACAAGGCACGTCCAGGTGAGCCATGGGAACCCGGCAGGCTTTGTCCAAGTCCTGCCTCCCGCGCCGAACACAGCATCGGACATCTTCATATGCATCCTGCGCTACGCTGTCACACGGCTGGGGAAATGGGTTTCGCCTGAGACTTGAGCAATGTCGATTTTATTTGAAAGGTCATCTCCCTTTTCACCTTTCCCCAAAAGACTTAATTAAGCGGCAGATAGCGCTAATGAGAAATTTTGCTGGTGTCTGAGAGATGAGGCTCGCGGAAGAACTGTGTCCTCTGTCTTTTTATATAATTTCTGGTAGCAGCTTGTCTGCTTTATCCTCAGCGGGGTTACCTTGGTCATTCCGGGCAAGAGACAAAGTTTAAGGACCCCCCCCAGCCGACAGCCGCACAAGCCCGTATGTGGTACCCTAACCCATCGGGGTGGTATCAGGATGTGGGGCCTTTAGTAGGGGACCGGGGGAGGTCAAGGGCATACCCCATTCAAGGATCCCGAGTCTGCCCGTGCCTGGATCTCGGACGTCCAGCCCCCAGGACTGTGAGGTAGGCCCCTTATTTGAGCCCCCTGTGGAGTTCACCACGTGGGGTGAGTACCTGACTGACTACAGCTGTCCAATTGTCCTCTACAGAAGCCATAAGTGACATTTCATGGGCTAAGCTCATTGTCACACTACGTTAGCACGGGCCCTGTGCACTTCTCGGAACTCTGATAAGCATGTTTACTTACAGAACCTCAACAGGCAAACAACATCGAGTTAATTAGGTCAGGGACAGTTTCGAGCTTTGCATGCCTAGTGGCGTTCTCTGCACGTCCGCAAAGAAAGGGCATCTTTAAACACGGTAAACGGTAGGAAAATGGCCATCGTGTGACTCTGTGGCTGGGGGAAGGGAAGGGGTGGTGGGCACCCCCCACCCGAACCCGTCTCCTCCCCAGAAAGACAGACGTTCCCTCTGACCGGCTCTCCACAAACCATCGGCCATCCGCGTTTTTAACCTCAGTTGATCCCTCCGGAAAGTGGACCCGGCAGTTAAAGTCACACACACACCGTGTCTCCTTGAGCGAGACACTTCTGCCATTTCTGCTGGCCCCGCCTGCTATGCGTTTCTTCCTCCTGGGTGAACCCAATAAGTAGTCAGAACCAAATGTCCTAGTCAAGCATGGAGCAGCTCTGTTTCAATTCCGTGTTTCCGATCTATTTTCATAGTACCCTCATTGTGTCACAAGAGCCTACTGAGCTCCCCAAGACAAATAAAAATGTTACCCAACCATCCTGCTTTAAACAAATAAAAGCTTCGGCTCCTTTCTTTGTGTTTACTGTTTATCGCGAGCGTCCTGGCTCCCTCGCTGTCTCTCATGCATATATAAAAAAAATAAAATGTTTATAACTTGTATATGTTATTTCCAATAGAAAGTATATTTCCCGTGGGTTGTCTGTCTCATGATTTTTTTTATCCTAAGCACCTTAATGCAAGATTAAAGCATCAGAGACACGAAACACCGTCTGTCGAACAAACAAATCATTTCATCTCCTGGCGAGT